TAGACTGCTGGAGGACATAGGGACCCCTTTTTCATCATTCTGCTTCATTCTATCTCTATTCTCCCACTCTGCAGAATCTGTTAGTCCAATCTCTACATTCTGCTAGAAAACTTTGAATCAATCTGACTGGATAATCTGGTGTAAAGTGACCTGAGATGACATGATGTGAATTGGAGCTATAGAAATAAACTGAATAGAATTCTCCTATAACAGTTTTTCCTGCATTTGTGTTTAACATTTACTGAGGAGAGACGTCTGGAAGAAGCTGCTGTTTTAGGGGATTAATGTTCAGATTATCACAGGACGTCATCAGAGCTGCTGCTGTAGCTCCCAGTCTGTGACCAACCAGCAGTTGAAAGAAAAAATGCTGACTTGTTGGGAAGAATCTGGATGATGGTGACTCCAGTCAGCGAGTCGCCCTTCATGATGGTGTGGAAGACGGGGGCGGGACCTCTCCACCTCGGCAGCAGGCTGGGGTGAACGTTCAAGATCCCACTGAATTGAAAATGTTCAAAAAAAGAGAGGAAAGGTTTTTAAGGACTTTATTCATTCTACTGATAAAAAATAAAACTTATTGGACCAGCGAGTGTGGTCTTTTAGCACAGCGAGCAGCGGCAGGTCTGTCTGCTGTAACTCAGGTGGTTTTACTTCTGACTGCCATCATGTTACAGAGTTCCTCAGTCAGCCACTCTGGTTTTCATCCTTATTATCAGAAACATCCAATAAATATGTCAAAGTGAAGTTCCATTTCTATGCTGATGACACCATGAGGTGTTTTGTGTCCCCCGCTGTCATTGTCTGCTTCCCTTTAAATGAAGGTCACCTCACAGACAGGATGACTAAAATAAAATGTCTGCCATTTTTAATTAGAGAAAATGAATGGGGAAAAATCATTGATTAACCAGATTTGTGGGAAAAGATGAAAACTTAATCTATAAGATTAAAACAGGCTTTACACAGCAAAATGATCACAGATATCCAAACCAACACTCATCCCTCATTTCATATATTGATTTATGCTATTTTCTCCCTGAAAAAGTTTTTCACTCAGTCTGTTTCACCTGCAAGGCCACACAATGCCTGAGTGTTTGTAGACCAGACCTACCTTCTTCCCATAAAAAGCCAGGTTCTTTCTAAAGGTTTATTCAGAACATCTTACTGTTTAATCAAAGTGTCTAATTTGTTTTATACTCTGACTGCTTTCCATTATAGAACGATCAGAACAGGGCTGATTACCGTGCAATAAGGACCATATGATGAACTGTTCTCTCTTTGCAAAGATGAAATAAAGTGAGATGCAGTTGATGGGGAAATAAAGATGGTGATCAGCAACCGCATGAAAATGGTTTGCGGATTGATCGCCACACGGTAGGCGTCTACAATCTACGCCGTTCTAGCCGTTAACAACAAAATACAGTCAACCACAAACTAGAAAGACTCACTAGGGAAACTTGTCGATTAGTTCGCCATGAAGTAGGCGGCCGAATGATACCACCACGCCAACATCAAACTGGCCCTCCACGTCATGGGGGGGCCAGCTGTGGAGAGGCAGCTGGTTTTCCTGAGCAAATCTCTTCACAGGTAGATCACCAGGTAAGGTCACGACCTCCAGCTTCTCCACCACGCCATCGCTGGAATTCCTGCAACATAAACAGAGAAGACTTTATGCACAGAGTGCGACCAGGCTGATGTTTCAGTCGATGCCATGATTCCAGGAGAACAGATGGAGGAGATGATCCTTCAGGGCGCCATCATCTCAGACTAAACCTTGGCTCGTTAGTCGGCCATGTTGGCCACATATAGGAGCAGGAAAAACTAAAAGAGCAGCAGGTTTGATCCTGCAGTTCAGCCTCAGCTCTGCTCTGCTCTACAGGTGGGGGGCGGGTTATGCTAGGGGTCATGTGGGGTGGATTACCCACCTCTGGATTACAGACCTCTGGATGATCCACCTCTGGATTACAGACCTCTAGATGATCCACCTCTGGATTACAGACCTCTAGATGATCCACCTCTGGATTACAGACCTCTAGATGATCCACCTCTGGATTACAGACCTCTA